TCTCGCACATCATTTTGTCCTCTAAATGCCGATGTACAATTACTGATACTTTTAATATCATTATATATTTAATCCTTTCCCATTACCATCCCAGTTTATTATCTACAGCTAGTTTCATATTAACAATCTTGAAGTATAAAATTATGGGGTGGCTAGTTACTGAACTGATTTAAGACACTCAAGACTCCATATTTCTCCTCTATCCTACCTTTTCAGGAATCAGTATTAGTTTTGAATTTCCCCTGAGTAACCTTTTCCTCACATACTACACCAAAAACAGCTTACTCCATCATTCCATAAATATATAATTTATAAAACAATCAATATTAATTTTGCCATGTGTGTACATAGAAATGAATCTACTGATTGATGATAACTATTCGATGGATTATTTTAACACTTTAAGACATTTAATACTTTGTCTGAAATGGCGATTCAAGAAATTATCCTTTGAAAACTGCTGTGTTTTAATAAAAGAATAGATTCAAATAACTTTAGTAACTCATTTTACTATAGGTGAAAACAGAAAACATAACTGTACAATCCCAAACATTAGAAAAAAGCTGATCAGCTGGTATAACAAAAACGATCCAAGAAATTATCATTTGGAAACAAGATGAGTCATATGCATTGTTTTAAAAATGTTGACACCATTACGTCTACTACATTCTTAGTTGTTAAAAATGTGTCAGTGACTAAAAAATAGTTTAGAAAATAGTAAAATAGATAGTAAAAATACAAAACAGTTAGGTGCGCGCACCGTATTGGGTGACTCGTCACAGTGGCATACAATGTTGGTTAGGTGCGAAGCATTGGAAACAGGCTTCACTTCACTCTACCGTTTGGCGTGCCCGTTCTATTTTAATTCTGTGGTCACTGCCTGCTGGCGCTCTATGTCAATGACATTAAAATCAAGCTTCTATTCATACAATAGGATTGAAAATCTACATTACTAGGCTGGTAACGGACCGATTTTTAGGTTATACGACAGTATCAACACAAGCAGTGCATTTATATAGAGCTCAGCCACATAACATAACCTCAAATGCTGGGAATATGCACCAAAGTCCGCCACTCTACACAACTAGGCTAACAGACCGGATTTAGGTTATACGACAGTATCAACATTAGCAGTGCATTTATATAGAGCTCAGCCACATAACATAACCTCAAATGCTGGGAATATGCACCAAAATGCTGGGAATATGCACCAAAGTCCGCCACTCTACTCAACTAGGCTATTAACAGACCGATTTTTAGGTTATACGACAGTATCAACATTAGCAGTGCATTTATATAGAGCTAAGCCACATAACATAACCTCAAAATGCTGGGAATATGCACCAAAGACCGCCACTCTACACCAATAGGCTACTAACAAGACAGATTTTTAGGTTATGCGACGGTATCAACATTAGCAGTGCAATTATCTATAGCTCAGTCACATAACATAATCTCAAAATGCTGGAAATATGCACCAAAGTCCGCGAATCTACACCGATAAGCTATTAACAGACCAGTTTTTAGGTTATACGATGGTATCAACATTAGCATTGTATTTATATATAGCTCAGCCACATAACATAACCTCGAAATGTAGAGAATATGCACCAAAGTCCGCCACTCTATACCACTACGCTATTAACAGGTCGGTTTTTAGGTTGTACGACGGTATCAACATTAGCAGTGCATTTATGTAGAGCTAAGCCACATAACATAACCTCAAAATGCTAGGAATGTCCACAAAAGTCCGCGAATCTACACCGATAAGCTATTAACAGACCAGTTTTTAGGTTATACGATGGTATCAACATTAGCAGTGCATTTATATAGAGCTCAGCCACATAACATAACCTCAAATGCAAGGAATATGCACCAAAGTCCGCCAATCTACACAACTAGGCTATTAACAGACCGGTTTTTAGGATGTACGACGGTATCAACATTAGCAGTGCATTTATGTAGAGCTAAGCCACATAACATAACCTCAAAATGCCGGGAATATGTACCAAAGTCCGCCACTCTATACCACTACGCTATTAACAGACCGGTTTTTAGGTTGTACGACGGAATCAACATTAGCAGTGCAGTTATGTAGAGCTAAGCCACATAACATAACCTCAAAATGCTGGGAATATGCACCAAAGGCCGCCACTCTACTCAACTAGGCTATTAACAGACCGATTTTTAGGTTATACGAAAGTATCAACATTAGCAGTGCATTTATATAGAGCTAAGCCACATAACATAACCTCAAAATAATGGGAATATGCACCAAAGGCCGCCACTCTACACCAATAGGCTACTAACAAGACAGATTTTTAGGTTATGCGACGGTATCAACATTAGCAGTGCAATTATCTATAGCTCAGCCACATAACATAATCTCAAAATGCTGGAAATATGCACCAAAGTCCGCGAATCTACACCGATAAGCTATTAACAGACCAGTTTTTAGGTTATACGATGGTATCAACATTAGCATTGCATTTATATAGAGCTCAGCCACATAACATAACCTCGAAATGTAGGGAATATGCACCAAAGTCCGCCACTCTATACCACTACGCTATTAACAGGCCGGTTTTTAGGTTGTACGACGGTATCAACATTAGCAGTGCATTTATGTAGAGCTAAGCCACATAACATAACCTCAAAATGCTAGGAATGTCCACCAAAGTCCGCGAATCTACACCGATAAGCTATTAACAGACCAGTTTTTTTTGTTATACGACGGTATCAACATTAGCATTGCATTTATATAGAGCTCAGCCACATAACATAACCTCGAAATGTAGGGAATATGCACCAAAGTCCGCCACTCTATACCACTACGCTATTAACAGACCAGTTTTTAGGTTATACGATGGTATCAACATTAGCAGTGCATTTATATAGAGCTCAGCCACATAACATAACCTAAAATGCAGGGAATATGCACCAAAGTCCGCCACTCTACACAACTAGGCTATTAACAGACCGGTTTTTAGGTTGTACGACGGTATCAACATTAGCAGTGCATTTATGTAGAGCTAAGCCACATAACATAACCTAAAAATGCTGGAAACATGCACCAAAGTCCGTGAATCTACACCGATAAGCTATTAACAGACCAGTTTTTAGGTTATACGATGGTATCAACATTAGCAGTGCATTTATATAGAGCTCAGCCACATAACATAACCTCAAAATGCCGGGAATATGTACCAAAGTCCGCCACTCTATACCACTACGCTATTAACAGACCGGTTTTTAGGTTGTACGACGGTATCAACATTAGCAGTGCATTTATGTAGAGCTAAGCCACATAACATAACCTCAAAATGCTTGGAATATCCACCAAAGTCCGCGAATCTACACCGATAAGCTATTAACAGACCAGTTTTTTTTGTTATACGATGGTATCAACATTAGCAGTGCATTTATATAGAGCTCAGCCACACAACATAACCTCAAAATGCTGGGAATATGCACCAAAGTCCACGCATCTACACCAATAGGCTACTAACAGACCGGTTTTTAGGTGATACGATGGTATCAACATTAGCAGTGCATTTATGTAGAGCACAGCCACATAACATAACCTCAAAATGCTGGGAATATACACCAAAGTCCGTCACGACCGATTTTTAGGTTATACGACAGTATCAACATTTGCTGTGCATTTATATAGATTTACAAGTGAATATATAACTGAAATGTTGATACCAGAGTGCTCCAATGTTGATAGTATCAACTTTAGACTGAGTATCAACAAGAGTAGGTAAGATTTAAGACAAGTATCAACTTAAGGCCCACTAGTATACCTATATATTTATATTTAAATATTTATATATTTATATTTAAATATTTATATATTTATATATATATATATATATATATATGTGTGTCCGTCAGCACGATAACTCGAGCAAAAATGATCCGATTTTGATGAAATTTGGTACAAACGTGTAAACGTACGTTTATTCGAACGAGTTCGCGATCCAGCATGATCGGACCATGGGAACGGGGGTTTATGGGGGGTTTTATGGGGTAAAAATAGGGTTTTCCCATTTTTGACCCAAAAAACATAAAATTTAGCAATTGCTTTCCAAACCATTTTGTAGAGCTTAAAAAAATAAATAATTTAGTATATTGAAGCGTTATTATGCGCCTAATGGTTACGGAGAAAATTCCAAAAAATTTTAAATTCCCATGTTATTCTTATGGAGAATAAGTAAACTGTTGTAGTTTGCTTGTTTGTGAACATATTTTAATCAAATTTGGAAAATGTTTTTATTTCTTACGAACTATTCACATTTTACAAAAAAAAAAAAAAAAACAGTTTTACCCTCCCTGATGCAGCAAACCTAAGTACTTGTTAAACTAATTCTATTTAAATCAAGAATAAATGTTATATTTTTAAGTAGACATTTCAGTGTAAATCCAATCAGTCAAATGGAAATTCGCTTAGTCTGCAGGTTTGCTGCGGCGGGGGTATTCAGTTTCATTTTTCTACGTATTTAGATTTTTGTTGGCAGTTCTAACTGCAGTAAACTCGTTTTTAGGCCAGAAATAAACTATTTACAACATTTGAAGAAAATCGTCGGAGCGAGATCTTGGTGCAAGCATACATACATACACACATACATACATACATACAAGCAAACCTTGCTCGTATTACAGTATAGAATATAGGATTAGTAAATCAGCTGATGGTCCAATGTAAATATAATGGAAATTACAAATTACAAGTTAAAACTTGTAACTTGTAGTTTATTATGAAACAGACCCCTGGCCGAGTGTAGAATAAAGTTAAACGTCCTTATTAGCTGCTTTAACTAAGATCAGCAGATTCTTTTAGTAAGACTATGTCTAAATACTGGATTGGTTTTCGAATGAGATGGAAAACTTATCGTAAGTTAGGGCCTAACTCAATTAAAACACAAAAATCATAACAATAATTCAGTTTTATTCTAGCTTACGATTTTAACAAAAACTAGTTATATACTCTTGCCACTGTTAGTACAAAAATACGCTATACAACAAATCTTACGATGGACAATTTCCAAAGAAATACACCTAAAAAGAATCAAAAATTCGAACGGTAAAACCAAACTTAGATCACGAGAACGAAGCTCGAGTAAAAGAAAAATATAAATAACAAAACACTGTGGCAGTCACTATACTTCACCACGAAGACAATTAATATACGATTTTTAACTATATTTCAAGCGTCATTTCTTCTAATAAGAAAAAAACTTAAGACGATTGCAATTTATAAGGTTACCTAACAATAAATATCAACTAGTATTCATATCACAGAAAAAGAACAAAACTAAATGATCAGGTACTGCAAAAAACTCGAGAAAATAATTCCTAAAAAGTCTATGAAAACGCTAAAAATCAGATCTTGATCAATGTCAAAATCTCCGGGGCGTTTTCTTTTGTTTTCTAGCCTTGTTGATTGTGTTTTCACCAAAGTGGCAGCCATTTTGGGACAGAGCTTGGTATGTGAGGCCAAAATGTTTTTCCACCTGATCGAAAAATATCTGTTCCAAAGCATCGACCGCGTCGCTGCACATTTTATCTCCCTGAAATTATATTTATTTCAAACAACAGTCTATATAGTTTTCCACACGAATACTAGAAAAATACCTGTATGGATCATAAACATAAACAAATGAAGTTTTTGGCCCGAAAGTAAACAATACCCCTAAACTAATAGTATTATAGGTAATTAACATATGGTTTTGTTTACTTTCGGGCCAAACACGTCATTTGTTAATGTTTATGATCCATATACCGGGTCTTTTCTAGTATTCGTCGTTTTCCATACTAAAAATGATTTACTGTACTATGAAGATTAAGAATTTAAAGTACTAAAGATTAAGCCACTAAGTTATTTTTAAAATAAGTGCATTCGACAATTAACTATTAGAAAATTACGTTTAAATAAAGTGTATATTTTTTATATTATTTTGCTAACATTAAAATCCAAATGGAATGTCGTACTTTTATTAACACAAGCAATCACAAATATCTAAACATACTTTTTTCAACTGCGAGGCAGTAAAAGTCTTGAGAAATTTACTATTTAATATAGAATTGATGGTCAATGGTTGATGAGAGCTACTTGCCTGAATTCACAGTGTTAAATTTAATCAAGTAATTCTGACGCAAAAATCATAGAATCATAGTCTGTATTATCTAAATATAATAAAACGGACTTTTAGTGCTCTAACTAATTTTGAAAGTTTGAAAACAAGGGTTATTAAAATAAATACCTTTAAAGGGAGAATAGTGTTCTTAATAGCAATTTCAAAGAATAGAAAAAAATCATTTTAGACCAAAAAGTTCAATTTTGTTTACTATATTAGTATTGACTATTGCCATTGCATACTCAAGTAGACATACCATCTATATGCACCAGCTGTCGCCAATATTTTATTGAAAATGAACTTAGTTATCTGAGTCAGTCACAGAATACGCTGGAGTCTACAATTCTATTGTCTACCTTATTTTTTGTAAAGTTGATGGGGCTATAGTTCACAGTAAGTAGTATCCCAATAGTTTGACTCGCCAAAAGAGTGCGTGTATTCAACATAAATTATTAGGCCTAATTTATATAGGCCCAATCTGTAAGCGGCTCACACCAACTATTTATTTATTTGCCAACAGATTTGCACCAATTTTACTGTTGTAAGTAAGCTCATTATGACTACCGGCCAAAAATAAATACTGAGTGAAAAAGATTAAGTTACAAGCATTGCAATAAGAATACAGTACATGCAAATACTTGAAATATGAATGAGCTGAGAGTAACAAGAAATAAACAACAAGAAATAATTATAATACATTAAGTATATGAAATACAAACAACTTCGACGATTTTGATTTTTAAAACTTGGGCCTACTTTAAGATGGGGATTGAATGTCTAGTTGTACCAATACTCAAAGCTACACTACACGTTCATACCTTGTTTCTACTTCTAATGTCAATGAAGTATTGGTGAAAATCCGAGAGCGCCTGATCCAAAGTGTCATAGCTTCTGTTGCTTAACTTGCATCTCATCGCTTGAAAATACAGGGGACTTCTCACCCTCAGCTCCAGCCTTGCCCCCTCCTGAAAGTGTCTTTACTGTTGAATCAGGCAACAAAAAATCAAATGGTACGTTAAGCGATCAAGATTGTTAAGATTTGGAAAATATCCCGACAATACGTAGCCCAATCCAACCAAATAGCTAATCAAATCATTAAGATTGCGTATTTCAAGAGAACGTTAGTCATTTTTTTTATAAGGGGAATAATTTAGTTGAACAAACTAAAATGATGAACTTTTTTCAGAGATGAAGTTTAAAGTTTAGCCATGAATAAAAAATTTAGGATACTAAACTTAGAAGATTTAGGATTAAGAAAAAGCGTTAATAACACTAAAGAGTTATCAAATTTGACTAGCAATATTTAGTGATTATATCTGATGTAACTGATAATTACCTTAGAACTACTTTAATAATTCTTTGTACTCAGAAAAAAAATTGTAAACTGTGTTTGTCATTTTTTTGAATCTATTGGTCCTCGCTGACAAGTTTTGTAAACTTGGCCAGGCCATGCTTGTAATATCTTAAATAAATATATTTGAATTTGAATTTTGAAAATTACCTTTTCATTTCTGATTCCATCTTCGATCAAAGTAGCAGCTGGCGTATTCCAAATGCAGTTCAGAATTTCTTCAAGTTGGCACGTGACTTTGTCGCTCATAGAAGTTGCAAACACCATAGTCTCTGGTCTACCGTGACTTGAATGACTTCTTCGATCCGCCAAGTTATAAGACTCTCGTCCATTTTTGATCTTCTTTGGTTTCTTTTGATAGTGTTCAGTGTTAGTTTTTAATAGTTGGATGGGTTTCTCAGGGTTATTTTGTACCATACCGTCTTTGTTTTGTTCAGTAACATCTCGTGTAGAATGGGTCAACGCAAATTGAGGTTGAAGACTTTGTTTATCTTGTCCGTTACAACCGTCACTTGGGTTAGTCCGTTCAACTTGGTCTTGTACTTTATCTTCCACAGCAGAACTCTTCAACGACTGTTCACCCTCTAGAGAAATTTTCTTTAACGAATCAACTAGCCAATCTGTCGATTTATTTTTCAGCTCGACAATTATTGATGGATCGGTTTCAGAACTACCACTGCTCGAAGGACTTGAGATATCGAAATCGTTATTTACTTTCATGTCGTCTCCAATTAAACCGTTCCAGTTGTTGTCGTCAAGCAGAAAGTGTGACGTTGTAGACACTTCAGAAGACTTCAAGTTTGAAACGTCATCCACGTTATTACCTAAATACGATTCTTTTAAACACCCTACCATAGAATTGTCTGATACAAGGGTGTTATCAGTATCTTCGATACATTTTGATACTTTTAATTTCGAATATCCAGTTTGTAACTCGATACTCGGCTGTTGAGAGTCGGACTGTTGAGTAGTGTAAAGGAAAGGGATTCCGACAATTGGAATATCTGAGATAGGAACAGAATTACTCACCGTTTTCTGAATACAAGGTGGTTTCTGTGGTGGAGCATATTGGCCAGGTTTCATATAACTGTTTTTAGCTAGGTTTCCATCAAAATCAAGGTCAGTACAGAGTATCGGGTTTGGCTTTGGCTTCTCCAAACAGCTGCTGACAGCATTTTGGTAAGGATTGGAGTTGACGTGGGAAAACTGGTTATTGATTAGAGGAGAGGTTACAGGCATCGTCTGCTGGATATTCACTGGAAAACAGTTGCTCATGGAGAGGGCAAATGGGTTCCCAAAGGAAGCACACATTTCGTTTGCAGGAGGCACAGAGCTTGTTTCACATCCAATGTTGAAAAGATTTCCATTGGGTGTACTAAGATTGCCTTCAAAGAAGCCTGAATTGTAACAGTTTTGACGTTGTGGTGCAGATGGAAACAAGCTTACTCCATGTTGAGTCAATTGACAGTTGTTTGATGATCCCATACTTACTTTAGACAGATCGAAATTAACATTAACATCACCTTCACCCCGTCCCAAGATTGGGTAGTTTTTATGATCATTCGTCGATGAAAATTTCTGTTTTAGTCCACCTGGAGTAAAATTGAGTTTGGAAGATTTTTTATTCTCCATTGCCATTCTTTCTGAATCCATTCTTTCCGAGAGGAATCGGCGTTGTTTCCAACGTCTTTCTTGAACGTTTGCGTCTGCAACTGTTGTATTGGGAATCGGAGTTTGAAATTGGCCAGCTTTGGACAAAGGATCTTTTCTTTGTTGCAAATGAGAGCCTACAGCAGCTATTGCAGGTCTTGAGGGGATCATTGATTCGTAGCATCCATTTGAATTTGGAACATTTCTGGCTGACAACTCCTTCAGCACACGTATCAGCCGGTCAACGAACAGTCTAGAGGTGCTTTGCCATTGTGCGAATTCCTCTAGTATAGAGTGATCAATATTACGGGTTTCCAATAAATGTTTGAACTCTTGTCGTTCGAAATGAGCACTAAGCTTGATCCATGAATTACAAATATCTATGACGGATAAGGCAGTGTCCGAAACAATACTTTCGTTTTCCTTTTGTAGCCTCACCGCTGCAAAAATCGCTTTCGTCGTTTTGTCCACTTCCATCTCAACATGAGGTAATGCAGACTTGGACTCTTTGAGAATATTCTCAATGTCATAGCATCCCCTTAAAGCTGTTTCTCGAAACATTATAGTTTCATGGTTTTTATGGGATTTCAAACTAACACCATCATCACTGTTGAACGTACGCGAGGAATTGAAGGACCCGAAGATGTTAATACATCTCTCGGAGTGTTTTTCGTTTAACTTCAAATTCAAAGAGGAACAGTTGAACATGGATTTGCTCTCTCGTAATGAAACAACACTTGATGTTGTAGGCAGATGCGACAGATTGGATTGACTGATTTTCGTTTTGCCATGATCTTGCAGTGTACCATTTCGGAATGTATCATTGTAATGACTATCTTTTGAAGAATCGCTCTTAAAACTTGGCGCGGAGTATTTGGAAGAAGAAAGAGAAGAGTCTTCGTCAGCCGAATCAGTAGTACTACCTGGTTCACTTGACTGCTTTCCCCTTTGTGAATTCGGAGGGCTACATATGAAGGAGACTATATTTTCACCCCCAACATCGAACTCAAAATGATGGTCTACGTCTCTTTTCTTTTCCAGTCTTTCTACTGTTTCTTTACTGGCCAAGGCTTTCAAGTTTTGCTTACACTGAAATCTATTGCAGTGAGTAGGCCTTTTTAGGACTTTTATCGTGGATGGAGTGACACATGACTGCTTTTCCCAAGGACTTTCAGGACAGATCATATTGGGTTCTTTGAGGATCGCACTGTTCCTAAGAAGTTTCACGTCACCATTACAATGGCCAACGTTACATTGAGAAACATTTTCATCCAAATTCAACGAGGGAGCTAAAGCGTGGAATTTACTGTTGGGCAAAGAAGATGAGTTTGTCTCCAAACTAAGATAGTTACTTTTTGAACTACTTATTTTAAGATCGAAACACCTAGACGGTTTTTTGGTCAAAAAACTTAAATTCTCTTCGAGAAACTTCAGATGGTACTCCGGATTTAGCATAAAAATGGTTTGTCTTCCGTCTTCTTTCAAACGGTGCAAAATTCGAAAATTGGCATTGCAATGGTTTTTTATGTACGATGAAAATTTAGGCAGTTTTTGGACTAAGGAAGACTCTGAAACATGAAATAATCACAAATTGACTGAAATGGCAAAATTATAACCAAATGAAAACAATTCAATAAATTGTATAACACCTAGTAAAATAATAATGTTATAACAACTGGTTATACCTTCAAATTTTACTCCTATTTAAAACAAAAAAAGTTGGAACTCAATTAATTTTTTTGCGTCTATGTTAAAGGAAAAATATCAGAGTAAACTAAACTTAACGTTTTCACACCAACAAATGGCTAATTGGAAACCTCAATTTCATTACCTATAACATTTTAACTTCTTGACATCGAAGTACAGCCATTCGTGTAGTAGCAAAAACAGCATTAATTCCATAGGATTTTAGTATGCTTCACTTAGTTATCAGAAATCGTTGGCTTAACAAACTTAAACAAAAACTAACTTAATGTTTGTAAAAACAAGAAACATTCCAAACTAAAAGTAATTAACTTTATCCCTATTTAGTGCATTAAAGCGCTTGTATAAACCATGTGAAATAAATTCCTTACCGATAGAAGAAAAATCGTTTCTCCACAAATTACGTAATTTGTTCTCGTCTTGCATAGAAACCAACTTTGTATCCTGAAAATTAAAACTAGATTACAGAGACAGCAGAGATACAAGACCATCTATGCTGATACATACTTTAATACTTTTATTACTTTTTAATGAAATGGTGACCATACAAAGTAGGTATTTTAAGCCAAGTAATGGAGATGAGTGTAGGATAGATACTTCAAATCGAACTTGGACATACATATATATTTCTTTTCGCACTGGTGTTGCAGCCCTACAATACTCCCCTCACCACTACAAATGGGCAACAGATCAACTATTGCCAATGTTCCATAAGGATGATAAATTCATTAAGGGAGAATGATTTTTCTATGATATGAACTAGTCTTTTTGAGCCTTTTGAGAAAGATCTGTGCAGTTATTTTCAACCGTAGCACCAGAAACAACGCTCTCGTTCATTTTAAATAATACAGTGAAATTACAACTTTTTAATCACTAGCAGAAATCGCTCGGCCTTCACACTGGCAATCCTTTCGATGATAGCATATATGATAAGATGTATTAAGGTTACACTAGTGTACATGTTGCTCGAATTCGATCAGTTGCAAAGTATTAAAGGAGTTATTCCAAAACGAATAACAGTCATATTTACAATGAGTTTAAAAGAGTCAACTCAAAGATTACCGGCGTGTAACTCAGACCACGATTATCTTCGTTATTGATAAACCTAAAGCATTCCGGCCGGTTTTCTCCTTCTCAAAATGCCTCGCTGTACAGGCAACACAGGTCATTGATAGAGGGCCAATTGAGAACGAAAAGTCGTTTGGGGTAGTGTTAGGGCGCATTTGTAACCTAATAGTTGAGATTGTCCAGGGTCAGGTGCTGACTGTGATGAGTTAAGCCTATTACGCGCCACTGTTCTGTAGCTGTGACCGCGTAATCACGATTACGCCTCCAGTCTATGTTTCGTTGTCGTCACGTCGGAGGTATTTAAAAGAAAAAACAACAAATAAACAAATTATAGCTACACAAAACAAAGATAAATGCACAAATTTAAGTTACAATCATGCTAACACGACCCGTCATAGCGACACAAATCAATGATAAATACACAAATTTAAGATACAATCATACTAACACGATCCGCCTTGGGGGATTATGTTTACATAAACTCAAACAGTAAATAAATGTACTCGATGCGTTTCATTGAATTGAAAAATAAGTAACAGTAATTAAATTATACAGTTGATCAAAATGTAAACAATTATGTTCTTTATAAGGATAACATGGGAACTTTCAAACCCACTGGAGCAGAGCCCAAGGGACTTTAAAAAAAATGTAATCTACGCGACACTCTCTTTCCAATGAGACGTCAATGGACAAAATCGGTTAAGAAAAGGCGGAGGAGTTCAACCGACAAAGTTTCATGTAGCGTATTAGTTATATAGATTGGTTTTAAAGTAATAAAGAAGCTTGATTTATGTAATGTGAAGTTCAAACCTAATATCTTAATTTCTCAGCATTTGATAAAGAGATTAAAATCTATATCGAGTTTGCATACGTAATCGACAAGAAGACCATGCAACAAAATGTAATAAAGTACACGAAAGACATAGTTTGAGATAAATATTTAAGTGATTTTGAAATTCTGAAAATACATTTTTATTTTATTCATAATTTGCCTCCAGGATTGATTAGACAGGAGGTTACCAACCTGCTGTTGTCAGAAAATCCAATATTTGTCGTGGATGACTAGTTTCAGGGTTAAAATCTCATTTTAAAATCATTTTCTCGTCAAACGTTATGTTCTTGCACTTTCCTTCCTGCAAGAAATTACTACTAGGCCTACCCGAAACTGGAAACTAGTCATCCACGGCAAATATGGGATTCATTGACAACAGGCTAGTAACCTTATTTTTTTCATACATTTTTTATTACTATTAAGTATCATTATAAAACAAGTTTTAGGCTGCAATCATTTGTTTGTATTTTATAGTGAGTAGGCCTAGTATTAGAATAATAATTCAATATAATATTTTAATGAGGACAAAACACTACTAGATTTGGCTGACGATTGTTCTACATTTGTCAAAATTCCTCAATTTCATATAATCTCATCTTTACTCATTTGAAAAGGAAAAACTAGACGAATTTTCATTTTAAACAAAAATCTGGATTTCGTTATACATAGTTATACCAAACAAAAAAATCTACTATGCATTCACAAAAGAACTACACAAAACTGACTGAAATATAATACAAATCTTCCTTCTGATTCATTATTTTTTCTTATGTGGAAAGCTAAAAGGGACCTCTTGTCGGCGATGCAAGATTTTCAGTACGGCCGATATAAGTAATTAAGGTCGAAAATATTGAAATTCGCGTTTTTATCGATTGTTATAGGCCTACCTCATTATCATAGAACAGGACAGTATCGGTTAAAATATCGAGTTGAAGATGTAAAAAGTCGAAATATATAATTTTGTTAGCCTCTGCACGGTCTGAGAAAAGGTACCTCTTGTCGCTCAATGTTATGCCGCCATAACGACAAGAGGTCCAATTTCTAATATTCCCTTTATAAACAGACTTTTGTCCAAAAAAAAATCTCCTGCATTCTAGTGAAATTTAGAGAACTAAAACAAAGTTCAGTTTACGGAGAGCAAAATATCTCACAAATTTTGTGGTCCCGACAAGAGGTACTTATCTTATGGAGAAATAACATAGGGCCGACAAGAGGCCCCTTTTCTGAAATGCGATTTTTACAACATGCTTTAATAAAACAATTGTTTAAATGAAGACTACCGGGAATCAAGACAAAAATTTGTTTTGCCCCCAAAGAGGACATTATAAGCTTTCTTTTCATACCAAAATTGTTTCTTAAATACGAAAAACTGTTTTTATGCGTATTTGAAGTTTTCAAAATAGTTTTTCTCAAAATGACCCTTTTCCATAACTAAATTTCAAAGTCCTATAACTTCAACAAAATAATCGTAAATACATGGGACTTGCACCAAGTGATTCGGAATTTAATAAGGAATTCAAATATATATATATATATATATAACTTAAAATCGAATTTTCTCGACAAGAAGTCCTTGTTCGCTTTCCACATCACTAATATTGGAGGGAAAAACGATTCACTTGAAATAAACAGCAACACTAAGTTGTTGTACAGGGAGAGAAAGTAAAAAATCCAATTTTACTTTGAATTATCAAGAAAACTTTATCGTAACGTAGAGTTAAGTTTAAATGGGTTAAGACTGAAAGCCCGAGAGGTATAGAAATGATGGAACAAACGTTTACTCTGCGCCTCATAAGATAATAATACTATGAATAGTGTTTGTGTACTTCAAAAAGTGCAAAAATATGTATTCGTATTCAATACCAAAGATCCACCCGTTACTAACCAGTAAAGACAACAGTTTAACTCAGAATTTAAAGTAATTTTTGTTTTTACGGAACTTATAATACTAAAACTAATAAAATTTGACTAGCCATAGATGTACAAATATATGACTTACGTCTTTACCTTCCAATACAATGTTAATAGGTCCCACTATATACGAAAATAGTCACAATGTTTATATTGTCACCATTGTTTTTCATTATGTTTTTAACCTCATTAAATTAAAATAACAGCTACAGCTGATAACTTTAAATGTCGAGGGAATGATTTGGATTTGAGAAGCTTTTTGAATGAGACTCGACAATTAATTATTGTAAGGATTATTTGCTTACAGGTGTAAAATTCAAACTCGAATGTAATAGGCCTAGTTAAAATTTTAGAAACCGAGAACCTTTTAGAAACCGTGCAAAAACCTACTCATGAAATGCCAATTAAGATAAAAATAATGATAGAATTTCCTCGTATTACCCATAATACGTGCATTAGGCCTACACAAAAAAATATGGATCTTTCATAACACATTTATTTCTGCACGTCAAGTGTTCTCGTATAATTATGTATGTGATACTCGCTATTTATGCCAATCAAGGATCTGACCTGATTGCGTTGTCATTGAAAAGAAAGATGTTGTTTTACATAACAAAAGATGTATTGTAAAAAATAGTGTCATTTAATCAGCTTATAAATATTGAGAGAACATAGAACAGAAGTCGAAAAAAGAGAAGAACTATTTTCCCATTAAAATTACTCAAGTGGTACAACATATAAAATTGAAAATAGTGAATTAATCAATCAGCTGACTCAGTTGTTCAGACTTGTGTTTACATTGATTTTAACTGTCAAATTTTGCTTTGTTATTTTTTGTGTTATGTAAACATTAACTTACTTGATCTGAGGAGGTTAGGTTAGGAAGTTGGGTTAACCTAGGTTAAGTTTTAATCTAACTTAACCCAACCCGACCGCTTATTGTAGGGTCACTGTGCTAAAGCTTATTGTTACCCGCTTCTACGGCGACAGAGCGTATACAATTTATGACATTTTATTTAAATAATTACGCGTTAGCGCAAAAAAGCGTAAGCGTTGTCTTCGAATTTTCCGTGTTCCTGGTCTTTTCCAAACGATTTTTTAAAATTCAGAGTACTATTTTCACCATAAAGGAAAATGTTTTTATTTGAATGTTGCGTTTGAGAAGGGAACCCATTTCAGACCTGGGCTCAGGCTGATCCTGCATTTCCAGTACTGTAAGCATACATGTTACTAGTTGTTGCATAGATCCGATCTACAGAAGCAAAGTATTGTAAGCGAATTGGCCTCGTGTACGATTACCTACGAGTGGCCAACGGAGATTCCAAGTCAAAACCTATTTTCACCAAAATGCCGCTATAAAAAGCCGCTCAAGTAAGTCATTTGATGAGATGTTCATAATAAAATGCCAGAGGAACAGCACCAAACGTGCGGAGCATCCAGAAAAACTCAAGAAGACAGAGATGAAGTTGAGTGATTTTCAAATAGAAGTGATGGTAAGTGAGGTGCAGTCCAGGGAATGTTTGTTGAATGGCCAGCATGGAGGTTTTAAAAACACTTCAGTCACCAGAAAAAGTTGGGACGAAGTGGGAGCTTAGTCTGTCATAAAAGAGAATAATTTATTGTTAGATAACAACAATAGCATGAATGATGTCTTGCGGGTCAGCACAGTTTTCCATCAGACTAAACTGACTCCTATAACAGGGGAAATTCGATGAGCGTTTATCTCGATGCCCCTATCGTACGTACCACGAATAATAGAAAAGACCCGATATGGAGCTTAAACATAAACAAATGACGTTTTTGGCCCGAAAGTAAACATTTGCCATTAGCTGTATGGAGTATTAATTAACAGCTGTATGTCTAAGGAATAAGTCGGCCTTAGTCACTAACAAGACTACTAGATCGCGCGATTCATCCTACACTCATCTCCATTCATACTTGGCTAAAAATACCTAGGCCCCTACTTTGTATGGTCGCCATTTCGTTGAAAAGTGTTAAAGTATTATTTAAGTTAACATTGTTTAAATGGAGCTGTCTAAACCATGTTAATGCCATAAGTATAGGATTCTGGCCAAAAACGTCATTTGTTTATGTTTATGATCCATACCGGTATTTTTCTAGTATATTCGTGGTACGTACCCAAGGCCTTACGTAAGTTAACTAGACGTAACTCTAGGCAACCCCGAGTTACTTGAGGCACTTGTTTTTTCTATGTTCCGCGCATGGGTTCGGGGACTGTGGATAGGAAAATCTTAAGTTAAAAGAGGCCTTTATTTAATAAACAAGTTGTCAATTTAACGGATTGGACCAGCCACTCTCCAAAGTCAGAGTTGGCAACAACTAAACTTAATGACACTATACAATTAATACGTTTGTGATTGAAAATGAATTAGAGTATCAACTAGGGTATACAGTAAACATACCTTTTTATCTCTTGACGAAGATCCATTACGACTATTCATACCTTCTTAGGCACTTTCATAAATGTATAATGGAACAAGATAATGACCATAGGCTCTTCAAATAAACACTATTGCTGATGGAATTTCAAAATAATGATATCCATGATAAGGTAAACAAACACCATACTATCAGATAAACATTTTCAACGGAATCTTTTTCGTTTTAATACTATTTAGATCTAAAGATAAACTTTATTGTATACGTAAATGAAATAAATACTACACGTGTGTAAGACAAAAATATTCCGTCAACAATTAATAATGATGATCACATGTTAGTCAGTGCTACCAAAACAGAAATTAAATTAATATTAAAATGTAGATCATGCTGGCATTGTCTTTGATTATAAAAACAACAACATTGCTTATTATATTAATTATATAAAATTATGCTATATTATATAACATAATGTTGAAATTAGATAGTAACAAAACCAGGGTCTCTACCGTTCCTTTACAAAAACGTAAAAACAACTAATAGCATAAATAAAACAACAGAAATACATAATCATATTACATATCAACATAAAAACGCGTCGTATAATTAGTATAGTTCATGAAACAATTTTGTGCGGCTTAAAATATCTCATAATCATAAGAGTAGTTCAACAAGTGTGCTAATTATAGCGATCTGGTCAAATGGATTCAAGGGCAAAGGCCCATTGTTGACACAAGTATAAACTGCATATTTACTCTTCTTGCTGTTGCCCAACAAGACTCAATTTCAAATCTTATCTCACTCGTGGGATGGAGTGGCTTTTGTTTATGTTTCTATATTGTGCATTAGAGCATATATTGTAAAGTGTATGCATTATTATCAGGAGGGTTATCCCCCAGAAACAGAAAGCTTCGTCTGGTTCACAAACGGCACCCTCGTCAATGGAATATCAGGCTTCGTATATACAGTCAATCGCCCAGAACAAAACATTTACCAGTCTAGTATGATACAGTAAGTTATCATTGGCTTGTGCCAACCTTGGACTAGCTACAGGAATATATTGATCTTGTCTGAATGTCTGGCTCTTGACTCAACTGAAGTCACTTCAAAGCTAGTTTTGGAGTGATTCAACGCCCTCTGCAAACTTACCACACGCAACTCTGTAACTCTCGGCTGGGTTTCATGTAGGCATGGGTGGCAACGAGTATGACGTCATGCTAGAAAAGAAATGCGAACATGCCATTCCTTAGATCGGAGCCCTTCTGTGGTATCAGCAAAGCAAACCGCTAATCATGCAATCAACAGATGGTCCAGGAAACAATACTTCGAGCTTAGGTGGAATTATTCTGGACAAATTATTTGACAAGAAGTTGCTCGCAGAACCTAGAACCATAGACTAACCAAGGGAGTATGTTTTATCTATGCTAGAACCCTTTTCACTCACTTGCTGTTAAAGCTGGGCTGAGGGCAGGTCAATCATGTACTTGCTCTCATCACTGGACATGGTCATTTCAGTGAACACGTCCACACTCTAGGTATCAACGACAATCAGGAGGGTCGACTTTGCAACCAGTCTGATGAGACTGCAATACACATCGTGTTGTTTAATTTGTTTAAACTTATTTGGTCTCTTTCATTGAATAAGGTAATTCCTAAATGATTATTGATTGTCGAGTACGACTGTAGTAGGATACCGAATGATCCGATAAAATACTTACTTCAGAAATTTCAATAATAACGGATATCATCAGCTAGTAAAATAGCAAGTGTAAAAAAGTGTTACTAAAAAATAAATAGAAAATTATTTATTTATATTTCAATAAGTTATGGTAGACAGAGGCAACACAACATGAGACTCAAGGTGACGGCCAGGACACCGAAGATGCTTGAAAGAGTGTCACTGGAGTTACACAGGTCTGAGGTACAAGAGCAGACCTCCTGACTGTAACCTTCCCCTGACTTCAAATAGCAACTGTCACTGTGGCTAGAGTTCTCCCAACCACAACTTCGTATCACTCTGGAGTCTGATGGTACTGAAACATACTCATACTTAACACAACATATCATATCATGAGCTCAATAGTTACACAGATCTGAGGTACAAGAGCAAATATTCTGACTGTAACGGTCCCCTGACTTCCGATAGCAACTGTCACTGTGGCTAGAGTTGTCCCAACCACAACTTCGTATCACCCTGGAGTCTGATGGTATTGAAACATACTTATACTTAACACAACATAACATATCATGAGCTCAATAGTCACACAGATATCTGGTACAAGAGCAGACCTCCTGACTGTAACCTTCCCCTGACATCCGATAGCAATTGTCACTGTGGCTAGAGTTGTCCCAACCACAACTTCGTATCACCCTGGAGTCTGATGGTACTGCAACATACTTACACTTAACACAACATAACATACCATGACCTCAATAGTCACACGGATCTGAGGTACAAGAGCAAATATTCTGACTGTAACCGTCCTCTGACTTCCGATAGCAACTGTCACTGTGGTTAGAGTTGTCCCAACCCCATGTTGCTTTTACTATTGAAATAAACTATACCGAGCCATGGCTCGGTCCCCAAGTACTATTCACTAACCAAGCACCATATTTATGTTTAGGTTTACACGTTTGTTATTATAATAGGCCGGCCGGTGCGACGTCGCCACACACCAACGCCGAGGCGTTTTGTGTAAAAAAGGCTACGACAGTATGAATGTGGTTTCTACAAGTATTAAAACCTTATAAATAGTATGTAATTAGTTGTAAGATCTATAATCTTTTCTATCATTTTGACATTGATCTCGAGTCTATAGCAGGGTAGACTAAGGGACTAATGTTTATTTCATTGGCAATTTCCCAATGAGTATAAATAGAATAGAATAGTTAGATACTTACACTTGTACAGATTGACAGACTGTACGATTTTGCGGCAAAGCACGTAAGCAACTCGTGTATTGTTTACTGTTGTACAGTTTATCTCCGTCTCAGTTGGAGGTACTTCGTCAGAGCATCTTGAATCATTGTAACTGTTGCACTCATAACATTTGATGGCATCTGCTGGAATCATAGATATTCAACAAATTGTATTTACATGGCCTCCTCTAAGTCCTTGGCGAGATAAAAGCGGCAACGCCGCATCTCCGGCCTAGCGAAACAGCTGTCGCACTAGTTCATAATGGAGGTTCTTCGCTATGTTTATGTTTACATGCTACATTTATGTTAACATGGCTATAGCAATAGACCGGACGCTGCGACGTTGCCAGACACCAACACCACGGTCTTGTAGCCATTTTAGATGAGGCCATTATATTGATTACATCTTTTGTAAGGTATTCTACAAGAAACTCGTTTTGTTTTTTGTAGATGAAATTCTCCAATAACAAAATCTAGATTGAGAGATTGCTAGATAGATTTGGCCTAAAGCTAAAGGTGGGTAATAACATTATCGTGTGGCTTAAAGTCATTGGAGGTTTTTGGGATTTGATCCCGAGAACTCTAGGACAGAAATCCCGCAGAACCTGTTACATCTCAGGATTGGATGAAATGTGCAGGACTCGGAAAAAGCAAATCATCTTTATTCCAAGATCAGGGTGTTTCTGAGGTAAAGAGGTAGTTTTGTTAGGAATATCCCGAAATTAGTTCTTCACTCCGTAACCACGTATTGCAACTAATTGCATAACAGCCATAATTGTTTATGCTAGAAAGTACCCATCCTTAATAGATATCACTATAAAGCGTATACTTCATACTAGTGGCTTGTAGGGACATAAGTCCCTAAAAAGCTCAAATGTAAAACAACTTTTTGCAATACCGGTATTTAAACAAACTTAGAATAACATTATCTATGTGTCAGAATAGGCATCCCTACACCATATCTTTTGTGTAAAAAACCAGTTTGTTGTTCTTCTTTGTTTGCTTTTGTTGATGTCATTTTCAATAAATAATTTGAATAACTCCAGTGGTTTAACATGAAAAGGCAGCAAACATATCATTGTTTGTGAATAAATACTGGTTTACTTTGGTCTTGTGGTTAATGAGGATAAATAAAAGCTTCCCTGTTTGGAATTTTAAAAATTCATTGGAGGTTCGCCTTCAGATGAATTGAAGACGCCTGCAATTTCATCTGCAGGTATTAGGCTTATTATACCTACGACGATCCATATTTATCCTGTCTACAAACCTAAGTTCTAATTCACTGTCACCTTGTACAACCATTTCTTCCGAAGCTCTTTTGTAAATTTGTGCAAATGGATTTTCTAATAGAATTTTTGCTAGTTTTGACAATATTTCAGGTTTTAAGTCACTATTTTCTCGACGCCTTTGACGAATTTCTGTTGCTGTTGATGTGTCAATAATGTACAATTGGCCATACACGGGGGTCTTCATCATGTTGAGGCAGCAAATCTGAGATTGAGCCATAAATCTGTCCTTGAATTTTGAAACAGTATGGTCCTTTTCCTGGAATATCTTTCTTACTGGCTGAAAAATAAGCAAAAGCCATCGCACTGTTGCATTGTCGAATGAATTTATACAGTTGTGGGCTCTCTTCAAACAAACTTTTAAGTTCTACATTAGTTTTTGACTGAGGAAGGTTAATAAGTCCGTTATGGCAACATGTCATAAAATGATTATTCGTTAGTTCTTCTCTAAAATGAAGAGCACTACATTGAATGCACTCTTGGTCCAATAATCCTGCATCATGGATCTTTACATTTCCCTCGTCTACCATGGGTCTCCTAAAAAGGGGTTGTAACATATCTTGATTAAGTTCGTCATTATCTACTATTGCTCTCCTACGCGCACTGTCATTCCTATGAACAGTTCCCCGCCTTTGTGGTATTCCCATGGCGTTATATTAATTACAGTACTTATAATGAAAAGAATATATATCCAGCAGCCTACATACCAAAACATCTTGAATCCCTGGTGATTTTATAAAAGTATGATCGAATATGATTACTCTACGTTGTATATTCACTGCACTAAAAAAAATTACTTACGAAGGAATGCAAATACACCATTTTAGAACCAATAACATTTATAGGTTATTTTAGTTGTATATATTTACACAACCTTAACCTTAAAATGTGTAGAAATATAAAGAAAACAACATCATTTAAAATATACTTGAACATATGATTTAAAAATAAAAACAAAACAGAAGTTAGATTTAATTTCGACTCTTTGATTATTTATACAGAATATTTATTCTATGTCATTTATTCCTTTAACACGACAATAACGTAAAAGCATGAAAAAATGAAACTTGAGTATATGATTTAAATATAAACAAAGAATGCAGACGTTTTTCCGACTAATCTTCAATATTTCAGTTTTATTATAGTATACATTTCATAGTTGACTGGCTAAAAGTAAACCAAATGTGTGTATTGATCACTGTTTTCAAATCTGTGGCACAGCTGTTTTAATTTCAAAAGATGTAAACAAATTAAACCCCATGTTGTTTTAATGGGAAAAGTTTTATTCTGTTGCGAATTTATGGTAAAAAAATAAGAAAAATGAATAGTTTTCCCTCAAAATTCACGCCAAGACCTTTAAAATAAGACCCCTCCCATCCTTCTACGGCCATCCAGTCACTCACAATTTCTTTACAAAAATTTGACTTACGGAATTATATATATAGATAAAATGGTATAGACACCAGTGACACCACTGGATTGAGCTATTTTTGGCACACTGTAGGCTAAATGAATAATTAAGATTCATTAAAGTATAGGGTTAATGGGTGTGCAGAGTTTGAAATTAAATGTTAGCACGGGGTTTCACTTGAGTGGTTCAGATAACTCGTTCACCTTCAATCCAAGAATTGAAACAATGTGGTTTCAACAGATTTGAGTCATTATCGTAATCAGGACTTGGTTTTAATCATGTAGAAGATTTATAATAACAGCCTATTGTAAAAATACAGTTTTTATGAAGTCCCATAGACTGAACGTTGTCAATATTCTCTACTGAGTATGATAATGACCCAAGTGTGTTGAAACCATCGAAACACCAAATAGCCACTTTTAGGTTTTAAGACGAACGAGGTAAGTGACTCACCCATGGATTACTTAAATATTTGTTGAACATGAAAAATGAATAAGGGTCTTGCTTACCGCTACCGATTGAAGAAAGAAAGACTGAAGTGACTGAAAAAACAAAAACACTCATGAATCTTTTCTCCATCATTGTTGACTCCACAGTTCTTTAGGTTTTGGTTTTTTAAACCATTCACAATAACGGCGACTTAACCAAACCAACGATGGTAAATAAATCACTAGTGTTTGTTAACAATGACAATCACGAATAGTAGAACGTGAGTAGAACCGATTATTCCGTCAGAATCAGAATGTCTGTTCTAGTATTCGTGATGACAATTATAGTGTAAGAAAATCATCCCTTGTTGAAAGTTTATTGGATAACCAAACAGCTGCTTGGCATTGATACCGGCTGAAAGATTATATACAGTTGGTAAATTCCACAGGTCTAACTGTAGATTATATTCATTGTATGTAATATGAGTTATATCATTGACTATTAATAGTCAAAGGTTATATTTTAACCGTTGACTATTAGAAACAGAAGAAGACATCCCATGCGTATGGATCAGCTGTTGGCAATTTTTTTTTACAAAAAAATTATTTAGTTGCTTGAGCCAGTCACAGAATGCACTAGTGTCTACAATTCTATTTCCCACCTTATTTTTTGTTGCTGACATAGTTAATGGGTCATGACAATTGCTATGCTGTATCATGTCAGTATGGTTTGACTTGGTAAAAATACTGAGTATTCGACAGAAATTAGTATTTTAGAGATCTGTACAATCTGTCGGTGGCTCACATCAATTACGATGAATTTGATTAAAAACTGGTGACAACTTTAACATGGGGATGGAATGTCTAGTTGTTATAGTCAAAGATGGTCTAGATGGCTGTTGCTTACAGTCGAAGCATTCACCTATAGTGCCGATGTTGAATATCTAAGATTTCTTCCGAAAATCACAACAAAAACTGCACCGTACAATACGAACGGTAAAGGTATCAGGTACTAAAACAACAGTAGAAAAACAACACTTTATTTAAAACGACACAAATAAGACGGACAGTCACATAAATAATGGCTAATGTACAATGGGTAGAGTACTGTAGGGGATGGCAGGAGAGACGAGATGCTATAAAGTGTAGCTAGCCAGGGCGAGCCCGAGGGATGCGACGATGGCGGCCAGGGCGCTGGAAGGGGCGCCCGCGGCGTTACACAGATCTGACGTGCAAGAACACACCTCTTGGCGTCCTCCGAAGCCGGACCTCTGGTAGCAGCGACCCTTGTAGCTAGACTCGTCCCAGCCGCAGCTGCGGATCACCCTGGAGTCAGGCTGGACTGCAACCAGAAATGTCATGTTATTGTCATATACTTTGTAGATTATCTTTTCTAATACCTCATCGGTGGTTTTTACTGAAAATCCTTCCCACAATCTTAGATCTTAGACTGAATAACGTTGGACAGCCTTCCGAGTATCAGAAGGTTTTCATCAATAATATCCAAGACACATTGCAATAGTGATAGTAATCTAAAAATTAAAGAGCAATATAATCCGTTGCATTGAATTTAAGTACAACATCCTGAACTTTATGGTAGTAAAATCCCGTTAATAGCCTATTCTAGTTCAAGGCCACGGTGTTGCTGTGTGGCAAGGTCGCACCGGTCGAATCGTGTAAATATAGACATTGCACAGACGCTCGATTGTGAATTAGTGCAACAGCTGTTCGGTAGGCCGGGGCTGCGACGTTGCCACTTTTGTCCCGCCGCGGCCTTGTAATAGAGGTGTCCAAGGTTATATTGGGAGATTAAGTAGAGGGAAGAATTGTAGTACTGTAGGCCTAATTATTTCTTGGTGATCGTCTCCCAGAACGAGTCTCGCGTTTTTCATGTGACCGTTTTGTGATGTATTAAAATTGTCCCATCAGGATTGCCTGGACTGCATAACAGTTCGGGAGTAAAACAAAACTGATCAGAGTACATATAAGGTGCATGTTGTAGAAGTTGCTATAAATCAGGTAGACTCTCACAGACTGTATAATACACCTTGATAACATCATAATATCTCTTGATTTTAATTCAGTTAATTTGTGTTTTTACCAGGAAAGTTTTGGGGTAGTTTTGATTTTGTCCATTTCTTATGTATTTTGGGGTGCTGAATCCAAATCTGAGGTTTGCCAACAACAATTCTTGACACAACATTGACAAAAATGAGAAAAATATGGAAACAATGATATTTTTTGTAATATTTAGCTTATAACTCTGAAATTATCAACTTTCCGTTATTAGTCTATATTATAAAAATTAAAGTACACAAAATTTGCTACAAAACGTACCCCTAATGTGGTAATCTCCGATGAACCGTTTAGGCTCCAGAGCTATTTGAAAATTGGAACATGTTGTGTTAGTTTTTAAATTTCTCCAATTATTTTGTCAATGACATTAGTGTACAGAAAAGTTACACGAACTGTTGCCGTTTAAATTATCCTTGCTCAGAGGGTTGTAATGAGGCAGGTTCTAGCAAACATTTCGAAGCATTATTTGTGAGCATTCTAGCTTGTTCATCTGGACGCTTAAAAAAAGTTTAAAAGTAAAAAAAAAATTTAAACATAATAATAAGTAATGTACCAAAATCAAAATTATCAAAATTAAAATAACAGCAATCTGTTAATCATGTAATATCGTATGCACCTGATGACGTGATATTAATACATACGTAAATAATAATAATGTTATGTAGGCATATACTGTTGCTAAGCATTTATATTGTGTGTAGATTTAACAAGTTAATAAATAAAGGAATGTGCGTTTGGTACCATACTTACTTTCTTACTTACTTAGACTCTAGCATCACAGCCCATTGTACATCCTTAATCGTATTGGCACCCATTATACAATTTTCTGTGTAAAATTTCAAGACCTATGCATGGCTTAGAGTGATTGGCACTGTTACCATAGGCCGATACTAATTTTTTCACCCCCATTCATTCACCCGAATGTAAATGTAAACTCTAACCGAGTTATGTCTACGCAGCTGCTTGAGTTGGGGGCAGTGAGGCAATGTTGGATTTAGTTTTCTAGCCAAAATTCGTATTGACTATCTTAAGTCAATTAACCCTTATCACTCCCATGTATTCCTATGCCCTACGCCCTAGGACCTACAACCTATAAAATCTACACACAATGTAAATGCTTAGCAACAGTATATGCCTACATAACATTTTATTATTTACGTATAGCTTAATATCACGTCATCAGGTGCATACGATATTACATGATTAACAGATTGCTGTTATTTTAATTTTGATAGTTTTGATTTTGGTATTACTTATTATTATGTGTAATTTTATTTTACTTTTAAGCTTTTTTTATATGTGCAGATGAACAAGCTAGAATGCTCACAAATGATGCATCGAAACGTTTGCCAGAACCTGTCTCATTACAACCCTCTAAATGAGGATAATTTAAACGGCAACAGTTCGTGTAACTTTTCTGTACACTAAAAAAAAATCAACGGTTCAGTAACACAAAATTAATCAATTTTAACACTTTGGATTTATATAAGGCCTTTGCCTGGGCATATACAATGAATATATTTCATTTACAGAATAATTTGAGAAATTTAAAAACTAACACAAAATGTTCCAATTTGCAAATAGCTCTGGAGCCTAAACGGTTCATCGGAGATTACCACATTAGGGGTACATTTTGTAGCAAATTTTGTGTACTTTAATTTTTATAATATAGACTAATGAAGGAAAGTTGATAGTTTCAGAGTTATAAGCTAAATATTACAAACAATATCATTGTTTTCATATTTTTCTCATTTTTGTCAATGTTGCGTCAACAATTTGTGTTGGCAAACCTCAGATTTCGATTCAGCACCCCAAAATACATAAGAAATGGAAAAAAATCAAAACTACCCCAAAACTTTCTCGCTACGAGTAAATTTAAATACAAATTTACTGGATTATTTAGGATCCTCAACATATCGGTTCAAGTCAATATTGATGTTTGGTGAATGTTTTGAAGGATAACCGGCCAAGATTGTTTGCCTAAATTGAAAATGATGCTCCTTCATCGATCACTCCTTTCCTCTGAAAGTTGTCTAAATGCTAATGCGCCCTACCACTAATTGACTCATGTCTATGTCAATTAAAGCGTGTGTAATAACAGCACTTTACACCATTTAAATCCCACTTACTATGATGGATATTAAAATAGAAAGTATTTTAGACATAAACTATATCTGGCCATACAAGGCCATTGTAGTTTTCTCTTTTCTTTGAAGAAGAATAGTTCGAGTTGAGGAAAACTCAAGAATCTTTCATCCTCAACTACTGTACTACGACTAACACTGCTATATTTTAGGTGGAATTAAAGTAAAGTTGTATTCGACAATTACATCCTTGTCCTAAGAGAAAAGTCTACAAGGACTTATGCTGATCATCAGACCTTTAAGTCCCATAATTTTGTACAGTATTTACTCAAGCCTTGCTGGATTGTTGTAACCTGTAGTCAAGTAGGTACTAGAAGTAGATTATCGTTTGATTTACATATTGTGCTGGCAAAAGTGGTCAGTGTGGATGGTTGGTGTGTACCAATGATTGTAAACTGAGTGTAGATATAAGGCATATAAAATAGTAGCCTATGTGAAAAAGTTGAGTAGCGATTCAAGTGGCATAGTATCAAATATATATATATATATATATATATATATATGTAGTCCCGGTAATCAGAACCCAAGATGTATGGAATAAATGTCTTTTACTCCATAAATCTTTATCAGAACCGGGTGTCCTACCCCTTGCAATCATGGTGGACTGACTTTTAGTTAACTCTTTTTCTGTTACTGCGCCGTTGCGCCGATTTATCATGTGTGGTGTTAAAAAGGTGGTCATGTTTAATATATGGATACATGTATCAAAAATAACCAATAGTTGTATCCCAAAGAGCGTGATTCGCCCTAAATGTTTTCAGGACTAGTGCTACGATCTAGCTAGACTAGGCTCAAGTTTAATAACCTTGGACTAGGCTAGGCTGCGCATTGTTTTGGTCACCTTCTTCTTATTACTTAATACAATAATATTAGGCTATTACCATGGACTATACACAGAATAGACTCTATTCTGTGTATAGTCCATGGTAATAGCCTAAGACTTCCTATGTAATGTAAAAATTCGAAGCCAACAACCGTTGTGCAATCAGTTGTTATTTTTGTTTATGGCAGTGGTTACCTTGTTTACCATAGGTTCTGGCGCACACCACTGGGAGTGACGCGGTCTATATTTAATTCTTTTTTTCTATGGTGGAAGTGATAAATCAATCAGATGTGTGCTATGATACCACATTGACTTTAATTCACATCAAACCCAACACCCCCAAATATTCAGTACCCTCTGGTGAGATCACGGCTAGGTAGAATTGGCAACGTCGCAAGTAGGGTTGTTAAGAGTCAGACGTCCCATAAGATAACATGGCAGACAGGTGACATCTGCTCATTAATTAGGACTTAATTGATTTAAATTTAAATTTAGGAACATAAATTTATTAAAATATTGAAAATAAAACATATATAATTATTGAAAAACAAAACAATATGAATTGAAAATCTATATCTATATATTTAAAGGGGAGTCAATATTTTCAGAGTCCAGTAACCAAGCTTTCGTAAATACACAAATACCATTAAATGTTTCCGAACAAAACAGCTGTTACAATCCTTCTTGCGATGTTGCCACTTCGAAGGCCGCGGCCTGTAACTGGAGTTAAAGGCCGTGGGTGAGATGGTCCTAAACTTCATCTATTTTCTTGGCTTTAAATGTTTACATTACATGGTAAGTGTATTCTGTGTATAGTCAATTATATTACTTAAAAAATTAAGCTTATGGTCCACCGTGGTGATGGTACATAAAAATGTGCGATTCTCCCTAATTGTATACTTAATTTGTTTACTCGCACGATTTCTACGGTGAGATACTTACGTCCGTTCACCTCAAACTCGATCGTCTGCACAATCTTGCGGCACATTGTGTGCTTGATCTTCTCCGTGTCTTTGGTCACACAGTCCTTCTCCAGCTCGACGGGCGGCTTCTCCATAGCACATCTTGTGTCGTTGTAGCTGTTGCACTCATAGCACTTGATGGCCTCTCCTGGAACCATTGACAAATGATATATTTTCCTCTTTAAATTTAGAAGAGATAAAGGTTGAATGTAGGAGTATGAAAAACAGGAAACCAAATATGTGGCAGGAGGTGGTATATTTTGAAATGTGCATACACAAGATATGCAAAAGGTTTTCGTTGTACTGCAGAAAACCCGTTTTACGTGCGTTGCGGGTTTAAAACCAGTCTTCTTCTCCCGAGGGAGTAAAAGGTGGCTTTAGTCTCTAGGGAGTAAAACTCAGCTAGCATAAATTGTAAGCAATTGCATATATCGAAAGTACGTATCGATTGTGTAATCGGTTGTAGCTTGTTGCAATATTGTCAACAGACGAAATTATTGAATCACTTACTTCCATTAGTCTATGTTACTACAGTATTACTAAACAGCTGCTTGATTAAAATAGGAACATTGAAGACAAGTTGAACGTCGCGTCGTTTTGAGAGGTTATCTTTACATGAAAAGTATCTTCGTTTTTTACCTTAGTTCGCTTAGTAATGTTGCAATTTGATTAAATATATAGTTCATCACAAGGGAAAAAAGTGTATTTTCAACCCTCGCTCATTTTGCCGGTTGAAAATTGAGTTCGGGTCGATAAGAGCTACTACACCTAGTGGTGAAAAAAATATACTATTTTAAGATTCGGTAACATAGACTTTTAGGAGATCCGGAGAAAGATTATCTATATAAACTTACAGTCCGGCCTATTGGTCTGTTCAAAGGTCTAATGATCCTTACCGAGTCACATGGGCTAGTCAGTGGCGACTGTGGTGATAAGAAGCGGCAAATTCTTGGCTTATCAGCACTAAACGCCCGGAAGACAATTTCTCTGTTCATCAGGTTTAAAGCCCAGCATAGTGTGACTGGGTAGGATCTTCACAAATTAATTTTCGCAGACTCTCCAAATTTATGAGCAAAGAAGTTTTGCTGACTGTAACGTACACGTGTGCCGCTACACATACACGCACATACGTACATGTACACGTGTGTGTGTGTACGTGTAACGTGTGCTGCTTTGTGTACGTCCCAAACAGGTCTATGACCTAGGGATGAATTGTTTCATAGTTAAATAAGTGTGTGAGTTAGTTAATCTAAGTTATTCTTAAGTTACTCTGTGTATAAGCGTATAAATCAATATGAAACAATAAAGATTTTCTGATTCTGTAAATGTTTCTTGTACAGTATAATATCCACATTGTCCTATGCCGATGGCATTTGGGATCGTAAAACGTCCACACACAAAAAAAAAATTAGAATGCAAAAGGAAGCCTAGCGTTCTATGAAGTCTTACACCATAACAATCATACAGGTACTGTTTTCTGAAGTAGGTCTTCTTACTATTCCGTCTAACTACATTTTTCATACATTGCTATTTCTCAGGAAAAACTTTGAATTTAATTAGCATCTTGTACCAAACTTAAAATACAAAACAATCTACAAATTCTTTGAACATTCTTAGGAACAAAACTTCAATTATTAGTTTTAAATCATATGTTTTAAAATTCTGTAATTTTTAATGCCCTCCCAAATATGACCTCAGGAATGAAATGTGAGTCAGCTTTAAAAAAGTAAATTGTAATAGTTGTTTTTATTTGTTGCAGAAAACAATGTAACATGTTGATTTTGTATTGATTGTGACGCTTGACAATGCTTGTAATGAGTTTAACAACAATACCTATAATTTCATTCGATTTCATTTCAATTCAAAGACATTTTGGCATTCACAAATCGACAAACAAACATTCAAGTCAGTCAAAATGTGCGAAATTGTTTGGATTACTGGATTTGTATTTGAACGTTCGTTTGGTAGTTCAAAGATAATACATTTTGTTTGTTATTTACTCCACTCACTGCCCCTAGCAAGTCCTGTCATTATGAGGATAAATGAAGATTGATTAAGGACAATCAACGTAGCTAATGATATCAAAATACAAATACAGAATTTATTGAATTTGAAAATGTACGTTAAAATTATTAACATGTCAATTCCTGAGACAAAGTTAAAATAATATTGAACTCTGTACTTATTTTATTTTCGTTGTCTTAATGAATATACTCATTAAGAAAATTTGTTTGAATATGCCTAGTTAAAGTGTATTGTTGTGGTATATGATAGTGAATGATTGAACTATTTTCCTGATAAAAAAATATTTGTGGTAGTGGCTAATTAATTTTTGATTTTGTAAATATTTGTATTTCCAATATTATAATACTTGATTTCCAATTTTACAACCTTGGCACTGACACAAACTAAGAGTTAATGAAATCATAGACAAAGGATTAAATATAGACCAACAACAGTGCTGCGGTTAGCATAAGTTCTGGCATCCACCGCTAGGAGTGCCGTGTAGTTACATAGTGCCGTAATTACAAGGCGCTCCTAGTGGTGGACGCCACAACTTATGCTAATTCTATTTTCTCTATGATAAAATATAATACGAAATAATACCACGATGCATTCTATCACAGTTCGGAAAAATAATTGTAAATAATTTATAATGTGCTCTGTGTTTGTATAAACTTCAAGTGTATTCAATCGCTCTACGGGGATCGACCTGATGATGTGACCGTCGTCACGAAACCGGTCGCCATCTGACAAAATCAAAGGATATTAAACAGGTAACAGTTTATTTAATATCATTAATACCCAGTAGTATGAAAATGAACTAGGAATAATTACTAGTCATAAGTGTATTTACATTCCAAATGCCTAATGAAACAATTATTTTTTCAAGTGAGCAATTTATCTATAAATTAATTATAAAAAAAATATTCCTACTAACAGGCAAATTGAATGGTTTGCATAGTTTGGAAAAATCAATATATTGATCTGTATTCTTGGATAACCAGTGTCATTAAGTGAAAAAGTAAAAATAAATCTATATTGTAGAAAAAGTTTAACTGATTAAAATGTATAAACAATCAATCAGATTTTATGAATACACAACATAAGTGTCAAATTAATGCAATTAATTAAAAAAATTAACATACAATGTATAAGAAGACTGATAAAGAATTTAACCTAAAAATATTTAAGTTAATAATCTTTGACGAAAGTGTATCAAAAGTTTATTAGACTAATTTATAATGTGCAACATATTTTACCTAGAACAGTTTTTTTTTTAACTAGGCGTTTCAGTCCAGTTCTTAGAATTGAAAAGATTCACTTAATACAATTGTTTACTTACTTAACAGCATTGTCTTTTTTGCTTAACAACACAGGTAACGCACCAATGAGGTTCAAGGATTGAGAGAAAAGAAATCAAATTGTAATGCTTCGAACTTTATCTGATCAGCTGTTCAGGCCAATTTAATTGTTGAATGGTGCAATTAGTGGTTGGTACAATGATTCGTTGCATCACTGTCAGTGGCAATGAGAGGTTATAAACGAACACATAACCCCTCTTAAAAGTTTTGAGTAGGCATTCATTGTTTACTCGCCAAGGCTCGTACCTACTACTTGTTTAATTAATACTCGTGTTGTAAAATATCTTCACGCGATCGTGCGTAAACTACTAATTCGTTATTTTAAGAATTGTATCATTAGTTAAATTAGCCATATTTACAATTTGTAACAATGTTTAACATTTAAGCTGATTAATATGTATTTATAATTTTATATATTTTGTAACATTTTATATATTTTGTAACACTTAAGGGGAAATGCTAACTTTTTTACTAAGACTTGCCACTACACTTACCCTAGTGAAAAAAATCCAGTTACTGGCCAGGTTCTGGCCCAGGTTCCAGAATTGGCAGGAACCTGGGCCAGAACCAGAACCTGGCCAGTACTGTTCCAGAACCTGGCCAGTACTGTTCCAGAACCTGGCCAGTACTGTTCCAGAACCTGGTCAGTACTGTTCCAGAACCTGGCCAGTAACTGTTCCAGAACCTGGCCAGTACTGGTCCAGAACCTGGCCAGTACTGGTCCAGAACCTGGCCAGTACTATTCCAGAACCTGGCCAGTACTGGTCCAGAACCTGGCCAGTAACTGTTCCAGAACCTGGCCAGTACTGGTTCAGAACCTGGCCAGTACTGGTTCAGAACCTGGCCAGTAGGCCTACTGTTCCAGAATGTATTGGTTGTTTGAGCTTGCGAAGACGACCCACTTTTACATGAGAATGATGTGAAAAAACATAATTGTGTTAGTATTTTATCACGTCTTTCACATTTTCTCAAATTAAAATACAGTAACGTTTTTGTATCCATAGTTTTTTGTATTTTACGTGAATAACTCGTTAAAAATATTTACCTTTTTACATGAGGGAAAGGAATTTATCGACGGGTTTTCCAAAAAATTAAATTTGTATGCTGATATTTTTACATTATTGGTACATGACGATTGTTTGTTATTTCCATTTATATAACTCTTTTGTAGAAAATGATTGTAAAGGGTCACACTCTTGACTTACACTTTCCAATCAGACAAATACTGCCATTATCTTATCACAATTTCCACTCTTTTCTACTTACTGAAATCAATGGCAAGACTCATTAATTTTATATAGGCCTAAACCATGGTTATTGATGAGCATGATTACTTCTTACTTAAATGGTTGAGGACCCTATAATTCTGCAGTTTATGTAAGATTAGGTACTCAATTACAATAGACACTGTTATACCTAATAAAAAAAAACTTTTTTGTTATTTCCGTGCTATTCAAACCGTCAAACAAAATGAAAATAACCAAATACATATCTAATATTACCATGAATGTATCTAATATTACATGTCTAATATTAACATGAATCTCAATCATACCTAATATCAGACAATTTTACGGATTGATACACAATTTTTAATTGAGGTTAATTAACTTTTTAAAATATAACAATATTGATTGTTAAATTAACTAATTTCTATTGAAACTGTTTGTAAAGATGGCTTTATGCCAGCATTTTATCGATTTTTTATGTAGGCCTATAAATCTTAGGCCTACCTTAGTGACAAAATCAAAAGACAATGCACAATTTAACACAGGATTATTAGGTCTACTAGCTCCTTTGTTGGTAAAAGAATTATTATTTGTGAATTTTCTTCTATTTTAGTCAGCAAGGTAATACTGCTGTTAAATTGATCATCCATTACAAAATATTTAATTTTGTTAATGTTTATCCATAGGTATTTGAAAAATTACCTCATTAGCAAATGTGTAGGCCTTAATCAATATTCAGCATTATACTCCAACATGTATGTATTTAAAAATATTACATTAGATCTTTGCACTTATAAATAATAATGAATTTTAAAGACATAAAGATTATCTAAAGATTGAGTCCATGAGCCATTTATGGGATGCAGTCTTCGTCCTCCTCAGTCGTTTCTCCCTCCTCAGTCGTTTCTCTCCTGAAAAAAGTAACATTCTATTATTAACATTGAATATATTCAACTGGTGTTGGATGTAAATTTTTAAGAGATGACTCATGAACAGATTTCTTATTCTAAAGCAGAATCAGAACACCTGGCTTCTTTCAATTTACTGAGCCCTTTTTTGCCATTAACTCCTTAAACATATCATTTTGCTTTGGTTGAGAAAATGTTGCAGTTTCCAATAAAAAAAAGTGTTGGTTTTAATTTGTTTGTCTATAGGCCTACCTATTAGTTTTGATATCTTAGAGAGATAGGCTATGTGCAAATAAATCAAGCATCAACTCTGTAAGGCAAATGAAACATTAGGCTAAGTTTTTACATTTTGCTTTGATGGTGACTGACATCATCTATTAATCAATCATTAGGTATCAAATTACCTTCCTTCCTACTTGCTAACAATTCGATTTCATGACGGTCTTAGCCAATCTTTTATCACCGTCTCGATGTTTCTTTTTCTTTGGCCTCTGGAAACTGGTTGAAAAACAGCTTCTGTAAGAAATAACAAGAAGTTTGCTATTATTAATAGTAAGTAGGCTATGTAGCACTAGTAACGTGTCAAAATCTAATCTCAAAACCACCAAAACTTTGAAAAAGGTTTCAGCTTGAAAAGGTTCCATCAGCGAGTTTCTAGATTCAAAACTTTAAATGGGGAAGACAGACAAAAAGAAATTAAACCTTTGACAAGAACTTCATGCACACTTTTTTAACTTTATTTTTTTGCAATCTCGTGTAACGGTGATTTGCCGTTGGGAATAAATAAAATTGATTGAATCAAAATCAGCTTAATATATTTCTCAATGCTGTAAAAGGGCCTAAAAATCAACCATAATAAAGTTTTCCCAGATCTACTCATGCTTAAATAGGGTACAGTTCACAAAACTCGGCATGGTGCAATAAGGTGCTTCGACAAGCATAACCCACGCACATAAAATGTGCCGCAGCCGATTCCCATTCAATTATCACAAATTTCAAAAGTATGGATACAATAACCAAGCTATGTAGGCTACATACATTTATTAACAACATAAAATTTGTTCTAGCCTAACTTACTTTCAGTTAAGAAGTAAACAGGCCTAGAAAAATCCATACCGCTTAAGAAACGTAACAGATTTTGACGCAAATTGGTTAGCTAGAACTTAACTTATATTTACTTATACTTAACTTAACCTAGGATATGTAAAATGTCGCAAAGTTCAGGTAAATTAGAACAAACTGGCTGTCACTGTCAATACCGTATGAATAAATTATTGGTAAGTTATCAGTCGAGAAATGTTACTGATAAGTTAACTTAATTATAACATAAAATAGGCCTCATCCATAGTGTGACAGTAAATAACAAATTAAGTTATTCTAGGAATTGGTCAAACAAATACGTTAGATAGGAGTACATTTTCGGTTTGTTGGAAGTTATTTTTGGTTAGCTAATGCTTTCTAGCCTAAGTTTAATTTACTGCGCTTGGCTCGATTTTATTTTCATCCTACCCTACCTAGCAGTACCGGTAGCCTATTTTTAACTTATGCCTAAGGAATTTATTTTATGAAATCAACTATCCTTTAAGGGTGTAAGAATTATTTAGGTGTAGGGCCTAACAATTGAATTTAAGATATTTAACTTGTAACCTAACTTTTAATCTAGGCTTTGACTAACTTAAGGCTGACTGCATAGGTTTAAGAAAATGATTGTAGTAGGCTAAGTTAGGTATATTCCTATATAGGTTATTAAAAGTTGCAGATTTGAAACTGTGGCCAATGATTCACCTAAGTAAGGTTAAAAAGTGATATCGCATTAGGACATGCAGTAAAACGTTAGGACTCCGTTCAAGTAAAAACCAAACTTTCAAAGAAAGCCCCATCAAGGCTATAGGCCTACTAACAAATGTACTAAGATTAAATCCAATGCAAATTTGTTAGGTAGTCTAAAAACTTATAACTGTAAGCCAAAGCCTGGCTAACTCATTTAGGTTAGTTTTCTATAAGTAACTTAACTTAACTACCGGTTTATAACTTAACCTAACTTTAATCAGTTTAAAGAAAGACTAGATGTTGCAGAATTTTTATCGAACCTAATTTTTGATGTGTAACTCACATTGAAACTTATTAACTAAAGTAGGCCTAATGTTATTTTGAATTCCTTACCTTGGTTTGGGAGACAGCCTCTTCAATAACGATATTCTTTGGTGAAAGAAAACTAAAAAAACTGAAGGTAAACTACCTAACAACAAAAATCTTAGGCTACTAATATAATATGGATACGATTATACACAATTACATTTTAATTTTAAATTGAAAGGACTAAGTTATACTTTTGCAAAGTCAAGAGGTTAGGCACAACAGCCAAGCAAAGATGGCGACGCCGATCTTTTGACAATTGACAGTTGGAGTTGGAACAGAAAAATGAAAAATCAGTCCCCTCCCCTCCTCTGCCACGGACTGCACTGGACCCTGTCATTAGCTCTCAGTCTGGCGCGAAAATTCTTTTAAATTTTAATCTTGCTCAATTTTTCAAAACAATAACAGAAGTTATTTTAATCAATCTTTTATTTTGGTTGTAGAGATAATTATTCTAGGACACATACTTGTCCTATGTATGGGTATGTGGTAGTACTGTAGTAACTTTAATATTTTACAGGAAAAAATCACAAAAGTTGCAAAAAATATAAACCCTAATTTTCACAACACTGAGAGGTTGCACCATTTAAATTTAAATTATAAAGACCAAAATATACTAATTTTGATCAATATAGGTTAAAAAAAACACAGTTTTCCTCTATTTATATAAAATAACATATAAGTTACAGTAGCTTTTTTTCAGAATTTAAAGGGCTCTAACATACTTGTTATTTATAAAAAAATTTTGGCCAATTTTTTAAAATAAGATTTTGCTATTATTTCATGGGTTTTTATGGAAAAATCACCATTAAAAACAAAATTTCAAAAAAGTTAAAACTTTGAAAACCCATGGTTTGGTACTTATTACTTGCTGAATTTCATCACAATCGGACAACACTTGTGGTCTGTAGCTCTGTACAGATTTGCTCATTATGATTATGTATAAATTAATCGTTATCAGTAATCTCCAATTTACCAAAGTGAATAACTTGTAAAAAAACAACAAACACATATAATTGAGTCTGAATTCTGGACCAGAGGCCATTATCAGCCAAGAACAATGCCAGTATCATCCAGTACCAGCAAAAACCTGGCCAGTATAAGAATCAGAATATAGTTTTATTGCCATAATAATACAAAAATGTACTGGGCATAAGTCACTAAAACTATCAAGTAAAACCAGACCCATTAAAATAAAGATACAAACTTCAATATCAGCCCAGTACTCGCCAGAACCTGGCCAGTATCAGCCCAGTACTCGCCAGAACCTGGCCAGTATCAGCCCAGTACCCTCCAGAACCTGTCCAGTATCATTCCAGAACCTGTCCAGTATCGCCCAGAACCTGGCCAGTATCGCCCAGAACCTGGCCAGTATCGCCCAGAACCTGGCCAGTATCGCCCAGAACCTGGCCAGTATCGCCCAGAACCTGGCCAGTCTCGCCCAGAACCTGGCCAGTACTTGTCAGTACTGTGGCAGAACTGGTCAGTTCTGTGACAGTACTGGCCAGAACCTGGACCAGAAAATTTTTTTCACTAGGGTAGATTTCTATCAGTGTATATTTTTATTAGAAAATGTTTAACAATATAAAACTTCGAATAAAAACAATGGTCTAACACTAGCAAGCAAGTGATTCGGTATGTGTAAATATCAAGGTAACTAACTGCACTGTAATATATTAAGTGTCTTAATATAAGTCTTATATTAAGACAAAGTCGTCGCACTGCACAGATAACTTGTGGTTTTAATGTATAAACTTTAAGTAACATGTATTACCACTTTTATCAACGGATTAACTTAAGTCCTCGGAAGACTGGATTAACACCCTATTGCAATGTGATAGCTGAAGATTTGCCTCCTAATCGTCTGGAAATTTGATCGCGTACATGGATTGTGTGTAATTATTGATATACAGTAATATATTTGACAGGAAATATTTTTTTAAGTTTTAAGATATGCAAACAATGGTATTTAAAAGTACTGCAATAGTTTTGAATAGTTTCATTTCACACCTAATTTGCTTGACGACCAACTTTTACAAAAAATACCCCTGCTGCAGCAAACCTGAAGACTAAGCGAATTTTCATTTACCTGGCCGTATTTCCACTAAAATTTCCCCTTAAAATTAATTTATTTCAGATCTATCTCCTATTTAAATAACACGAATGAGTACTTAGGTTTGCTGATTTAGGGAAGGCAATGAGGTGTGTTTTATTGAAATGTTGAGAGCTTAGTATAAAGTAAACAAATTTGCAAAAATTCGGTAAAATATATTTGTGGACAAGCAAAATACAACCATTTATTTGTTCTCCATAAGAATAACGTGGGAATTTTATTTACATTTTCTTCCTCCGTAACCGTTAGGCCAACGTTAACAACGCTTCAGTATACTTAAACGATTTGTTTAAAGCTCTACAAAAATGGTTCTCGGGACTACTACCATGAGACCTACAATAGCAATTCCCTATAGTGGTGAATTCGCTAAAATGAAGTAGTTTATTTACTTGGTAAAACAATCTAGACAAAAACAAAATATTATTTAGTTTACTAACTTTATCATGCTCAAATTTCTTATCAATGACTTTTTTATAGGATGGTAAATGTAAGTTAATTGCAGTGTGATGAAATGTTTGTCATAACAATAATTCAGTTTTACAAAGTAATTTAACACCTTAATTCAACTCCTAGTCTAAACGTAAGATAAAAGCGTTGTACATTTGTCTTGCATTCAGATAGCATAACTTGTGTAAATGTTAGGTTAGGTGTGGTTATCAGTTTCAAACCAGGTATAGACTTATTTTTATCACAGTCTGTTGCATTTTAGACGAAAAGGAGTTATCTTTCCTGAACTAAAATAAAGCAAATCGTCATACTATATTGGGTATAACTTCGGTGTACTTGATATATTAGTAATTTATTGGGTATAGCCATAGAGCAGGGTATAACCATAGACAAAAATAATTATTTCATTCTTTTTGTCTATATAACAGGCAGGTATCCAAGACTGTTCAGCTATTACGAATTGTACTGACGAGTAATTACTCAGCTTTAGGATATCAACAGTTTAGGATAGTTTTAAATCATTTAAAAAGATAGCCTACGCCTGCAAAAACTTCTTGAAACAAGCATTAGTGACTGAACTAATAAAACCGTTCGTGTCGGAAATTCATATATATGCTGGCGAAAAGGCGAAGTATTTGTGAATTATTGTTGGATTGTTATAAAATATTATATTATGGATTTGCACTAACGCTTTAAACTGTAACATTAGTTGGAGACTGAAACCAACCTTGTAGAATGGTTTTGTTGTTAACAAAGTGAATGTTGTCTGTTAAAATCCGTCTTAATAATAATTCGAACACACGAAACTATGGTATATTTGCACATTCCAATTGAAAAATTACCTTTGAAAATTTAACAAGTCCTAGCTTGCTCCTTCAAAACTGAAAGTATTTTTTTTATTTAATGGTTGAAATTAATTAATATTAAAAAAAAAAAACTTTGGATGCCGTATAAGTTGTTTTTGGGTTATGAATTAATTATGCTCCAACAAAAAGGTCCAGGGTTTCTACCGTTCCCTTTCGAAACGTAAAAATATGCCATATTGCGGGAAAACCGTTGTAATGTATAATACTTTCTAAATAAGAATTAAATTATTATATATGATTCATATCGTGACCTATTATTATTGGGCACAAATCTGTATTATTTTAACTTGAATTCCTCCATATTTGCAATACTACTAGGCTAAGTACGTCATGTTTCTTCTATAAGGGTGCGAGACCTTAATGGAATAGCGACATCAATAATAGACAGATAATTAACGACTTAATGGAATAGTTAACTGTTAACTCAAGTTAAGAGCGACGCAATGCACTGATAATTTAAGCAGTTGAGGCTGCAATACATGCTTTTCTAATTTGAATAATTATTTGTTCTCTTATTTATATTTCAAATTTTTTTGTTTTTTCAATAAAATTAGTATAGGCCTACAGTACTATAGGCCTATTTAGCAACTATATCCTATAATGGTTTAATAATTATCTTCTCCTTATTAAATTCTTGGTTCGCTTAGAATTATATTATTTTAACTAAATAATAATGTGTATTATTTTACGTCTCTTAATTCTATAAATGATTGTTTAAAGCTAAGTTTTAACAATTTTTTATACATAATTTCTAGTCTACCTGTCTGTACGAACGCCAGAAGTACGAGGACGGCGCCCAAAGCAGAATGTAGCAAGACTGTCATGATGGCAGTGGTGACGGGCGGAGGTTTTGGCGCGAACTGACAGCTTTGGCGCGCCCGATCAGCTGATCAGTGACAGACGACAACGTCGACGCCCCGTCCTGCGCTACACTGATATCAATTATACTATCAGCTGGTAAAACAGCAAAAGGTGTACTATCAGTAGGTAACGGCCAATTTAAACTTAATTGAGTGAAGTGATACTTATAGTTTTCGCCTTAACGGCTTTCAAAAAGAGTACTTGTTTGTCAATTGTATTAATCTGTCTATTATTGATGTTATCACGTTCAATCGGATATACTGACTAAATAAGAGACGGCAAGAAGATTTGTAAACAGCTGGGACAAACATCATTTTCAAAATGACATATGGAATCAGTGATTCCATATTTTCCACCACCATTATATTATTCCACTTTAGACCAGCTGATAATTTTATTGTAATTATTAACAGATTGGATTTGTGCCCCTTTTTTACCTATCTAAGGATTTAATCATACAAAACAGATTTTCACTGTAACACCCCTTTTCCACCCGTCTTACTGAACCAATGTTTCCGATTTAGGTGTCGTTTTAATGATAATGACCTATTGGAGGGACGAATGTAACTAAGAACGTAATTAAATTTAGGGGATCGCCCCGTAACATTGGATGGGTTCTTTACTAATTGCTGTTATTTGTTTAATTCAAGATAATATCAAGTGTTTAGAAGCTTATTCTAGATTTCACTTTCAATTATTCAGTGATGCTGACGAAATATCTTTATAAGGGGTTATCAGAATAATTTAATTACAGCTACTCCTTCAAGTAAATGTTTGACCTCAGCCAAATAGGTATATATAGTAAACAGTTAGTGAAAATGGATTTTTAAATAGTCTACACTGCTTTTAGTGTTATTTATAACATGGTTGAGGTAGGTAAATCTTTATGGCATAGCATACCATCAACAAATGTAATTTATTGTAAACATATAAGTTTGTTCGCCTAGTACTTGTAAAAAAAACGCAACTTTTAAAGGTAAAAGTGTATTCCGTCACTAGTTTTGCCTCAGAAACCAGTTTTGACCCAATTGACACAATCCGTGCAAGGATCCTTTTCTTTATTAACAAGGCTTGGATTTCCAGGTTAAAATTTGTGATAACGGCAACTCTAATTCTAAATTTCTTCATAGGATTAGTTGTGTAATACAGAGTCTAAAGATTGTTATCTTTAATAGTAGAATATAATATAACCTTGGAACACGCAGTTATATACACAATAGAATTATTCTGCCGAAAAGAAAGATACAGTGATACTGTGTTTTAAATCGTCAATGGTTCAACTAACAAAAGAATTCTGCAGGAGTCCTATCGTTAACATTTAGCGTTGCAATTCTAGTAGGCCATAAATGTGTCATCAATAGAACGTGATATTCAAGTTGGACAATTTCAAAGTACCAAAGTTATAGCCAACGGGTTGTGAGTGAACATTTTTTAACATATGAAATTATATTTCAATGATCACAATATCTAAATTTCATATCACTATTTTGTCGCGGAAATACATGTCTTACTATCGCGAGTTCCAAGCAAAAAACACATCCAAAGATCAGTGGCGACCGTGATGGTGATAACCACAAATTAAAAGCCACCGACGGATAAGGTTGCTAGGCAACGCCGGATTACGTGCGTCACGGCCGTATTAAAGCCCGGGGGAAGGAGGCGAATGCGCGCGCAATGTAACTTAACCCAGCTGTTTACAGGCAAATCACCTGGTAATGACATTGTTGTCGGCGCCAGCCTTCTGAAGTAGTGTTGGTACTACTTTATCGCAAATTTTCATGGATTTAAATCGAATAATCTATGGTGTATTTTCAATTATTGGTCACTTTTGGATTCTCCCCCAATTTATACTAGCATAGCAATAATGCTCTAAACAGTTTTGCCATTTTCGACATGTTCTAACATTTTGAAAACAATTATTTCAGCTTTCGACGTTTAATGAGTTCAATGTCAAATAATTAGAATCTTTGGACAGTTTGCTACCGACTTTTTGTCCAGATGATACACGGTTTGAGGAAAATTAAAAATATTTTACTTTAAAGAAAAAAAATAGATTGATCTTTTGCATGGTCATTAAAAATATGGTGGGCTATTTTTAAAATATCAAAATATCCAACGAAGTGCAAGTAAGCCTCGCTCATTCTACAGGGTGTCTCAGAAGTTTCTATCAACCTTTGGCGTCACTCGTGGACAAAAGAAAAACTAAAATACGTTAAAGATGTCCAAAACGCGAAAGTTACCCTTCATGCGCCATCTTGTTTTCACAGAGAATGTGAGCAAGATATGGGACATTGTAAAGATATATAAGTGTCCTACTGATATAGAAATAAGATATTTATTACATTATTTATAGTATAGTAATATATAGTAGTTTATAGTATAGTATTTATTATAGTATTTATTATATATAGTATATAGAAGTGTGATCCTGACAAGAAGTTCTTAGGCTGATTTTGAAGATAGTTCGAATTCTGTAGACGAACTACCAAGACTGTTAAAGCACTCTAGTAATGAATTGAGTCTAGTGACTTCTATAGCAGGTTTATCTGCTTCACCTGAACTACTCTATATAGATAACCTTGTCCTGAGCCAGTGACAGAACACAGAGGGAGGACCCGACACGCCTCATATTGTCGTCTGACCTTCGCTTCTTGTGGCTTTGTCGCTGATATTTGCAAGCTACATTGCAAATTGCTGCTTCTGCTACACTTATTTACAATGAATGAATCTAAATGTTTTGTGTCAAGTCAATATATAAGTCAGCCATTTAATGAGAACGTATTAAGGTTAAGCTATTTTGTCCAAATAGATATGTTTGGGCCAACATATTTCCAATGATTATAGTTTAAAAAATAATTTACGTTTTTGTATGGTGATTATTGAGTGACGTCTTTTGATTTCTTGAAATCTTGGTAACCCCTTGAGTACGTCTGCATTTTTTGGGAGAAACAACGAGTAATTTTATTATTTCTTCGTCTTTCTTATAGATTTTCTTTTCTTTTTTCTTTTCTTTTTCACTTTCCTTCATTCATTCTGTGTAGTGTAAAAAAAATAATGAACCCGTCTGATAATTTTAAGTGTAACGTCAAGTATATCTTAAGTATTGTCTGATGTCCTCTAAGTTTGGCAATTAAAGTAACGTTTTGTGATGTCTTAAGAGACATCCAACAAGATGTTGAGTAACGTCAAGTATTCTATCCCAGGTACATCTAACGGTACTTACGTATTATACGGAGGCCACTTATTTTACAGCGCGCTGCGGCGGTTAGGTTAGGTTGGGTTATCATAAGTTTTTATGACTCATCTCGTATAGTTCGATTCATAACGAAACTAGGAAAGTTCTACAAACATATTTATGATAACCCAACTTAACCCAACCGCCGCAGCGCGCTGTAAAATAAGTGGCCTCCGTATAATACGTAAGTACCCATCTAACAACGTCTTTATAAATAACCTTGACATTTCTTTAATGATTTAACAATATTTTTAGTGACGTGTTGAGTAACATCTAGTAATTTCACGAGTGAGGTCTTGGTGACTTGTAATTTCTGGCCGTATGACAAAGTATCAACTGTCTTAAGTAAAGAAGTCTTGAGTACTGTAAGACTAAATTACTTACGTAATTCTCGTCACAGATCAACCAAATATGTCAGTTTAGTACATGTTTCAGTCAGCGTCAGGTACTTTTACACTTTAACAACGAAACATGTACTAAATTGACACATATTTCGTTGAGCTGTGACGAGGATTACGTTAGTAATTTCAATCTTACATTATGTCCAGCTCAGAAAAGGCTAGAGACATGAATTTTGATTGTCTTGAGTACTCTAATACAATTATTGACTATACACAGAGTGTACAGTCGATGCTAATTCCCTTGTAATTCCTTGAGTACCGTGACTGTCTGGTCGCCTGGCGTCTGTATCACTCAGAAGGCGGTCAATTTGACTCGAGGATGCGAGATATTATCCTGTTAAGGACAATTCTGTCAGCCTTGGACGCACTCTGTGAGACCGATGCTCCACGCTCTAATTGGATAAGAGACTTGTTCGCAATCCTTCCCAGTCCAGAGGTGATCACTATGAATATCTGAGGTTTGCAAATACACATTGCCAATTGGATGTGTATTTGAATAGCTTTTGCAGTTGAAGTCACAGATGTAAAAACCAAACAATTGGATAAATTGATTATCTTGAGAAAAAGATTATTGCCGATTTATTGAGAGCTTCTTTTTCACCACGAAACTGTAGCAGGTTGCAGTAAAATGGTTCAATTGAAAGGGACACTTTTTAAGTAAAATTAATTATAGTACGCGGTTAAATATTGTTTGAATCCCAGATCATTGGGGCTTTGAATAATTTATCCTGACTAACGAAACAGCTGATCTTAGTCAGTAACAGAGCTACACAGATCATCTCACATCATTCTACACTCATCCTTCACTCATATTTGGGTTAATGTACCTGGGCTTCCCGATCTCAATGATTGATAATTGAATTAATATTGGGGGGTTACATATTCAAGTATTGAACAGAACCTTAACTAAATTCGGTAACATAGCCACTTAAGCTGACACTAAGCTGCGATTTCTGCCTAGTCATAAACAACCATGATGGGCCTTCACTCACTACTCAAACTAGCTCAACTACCTAATGGAAAATTAGGACTTATGCTGCTGTTTTAAATTCAAAAGACCCTTATCAATGTTTGAAACGAACATTTAACACTTGTTTGGATTACGAACACTATGTAAGTTCCTCTTTAATTTGATGAGTTATTTAAAAGTAGTCGTAAAGCCAATTGTAACTCTCAAAGAGCTCAATAACAGTTTATGTATAATTTTATAGTATTAGGTAATTCTGAATTTATTTCTTTAGAGTCACCTTAAACCACGTACATCTGCTTCGCGACATTGTGATAGGATAGGTATTACAGTCCATGATATAGGCAATGGTTTAAATATGAACATATGCAAGCTAAGCGAAAATAGTAGTCATGTAAGGCAGTGTAATTCAAGAAATACACAGTGACAAAGTTTATGTATCACATGTA